ACCATTGCAGCACCCCCATGGTCACGTGATCAACATTCAGATACTTATCAACTGACTCACACTTATGACAGTTGCAGCGTCCCAAAGTCATGTGACCCACCTTTTGTAACCTTCTGACAAACAAAGTCAACGGGGAAGCCAGATTTCACTTTACAACCGTATTACTAACTTAACTGCAATAATTCACTTAACAACTGCGGCAAGAAAGATTGCAAAAACGGGACAAAACTCACTTAACAACTGTCTCACTTACAAACAGACATTTTAGGCTCAATTGTTGTCGTAAGTTGAGGACTACCTGCAATCATAGGAAGTGCTCTTTCTCTATACCTTTCCCACGCTTGGATCTCAACTCTGAAATTCAAACAAGAAAAGAAGGCAATGAATTGAGTCTAAAAACCTCTTCTAACCCTAACCATACAAACTCAAGAGCTACAAGAGAAAGGAAGTTTGCCAACTGCCCCCCTTCCCTTTGAACCAGCTGAAAGCTCCCCTCCCCCTTTGAACCCTCTGCCTTGTGCAAATCCAACCCGGAAAAGTGAGAGTTGATGATTCATAGCATGGCAAAAATACGGAATTTTAGCCCGGAAATTGCAGCCAAGAGCCAAACTGCAAAAGCCAGGGGCTGGCCTGCAACTCCGTGTACATGTCTACCTCCGTATTGTTTCTCTGTGTCATATATGTGGGTATATGCCTAATTATGTATGTCATGTACCCCGTTTCCCCGAAAATAAGCCCTCCCCGAAAATATATTTAAACGCAGAGCTGGAAATCAGGTAAGACGACAAGAGGATCCCCCGTCTTGCTCCAGGCGCCCCCAAATAACAAGACCTCCCCGAAAATAAGGCCAAGCGCTTATTTCGGGGTTCAAAAAAAATATAAGACAGGGTCTTATTTTCTGGAAAACATGGTATGTATGCATGCATGCATGCATGCAGGTAGGTTAGTAGGTATGCATGTATGTATGTAGGTAGGTAGGTATGCATGTATGTATGCATGTAGGTAGGTAGGTAGGTATGCATGTAGGTAGGTAGGTTAGTAGGTATGCATGTATGTAGGTAGGTAGGTATGCATGTATGTATGCATGTAGGTAGGTAGGTAGGTATGCATGTAGGTAGGTAGGTAGGTATGCATGTAGGTAGGTAGGTTAGTAGGTATGCATGTATGTATATGTATGTACGTAGATAGGTACGTATGCATATAGGTAGGTAGGTAGGTATGCATGTAGGTAGGTAGATTGGTGGGTATGCATGTATGTAGGTAGGTAGGTATGTAGACATGGTTATGTAGTGTATATTGGAGGTGGGGAACCCTTGGAGAGTTGCGTGCCACAAAATTTCATTTTAATGCATGCCGATTAGTCTACATTCAAAGTGACAATAAAAGTTGTTATTATTGTATTCTATTTTTCTATTCTATTCTCCAAGCGGGTTGGACCAGCCACGGACGGGCAGCCCGTCGCATTGGAAGCCACGGACAGGCCCAAAGCCGGGTGGAACAAAAGCTGAGGCGAAGCCAAAACCAGCGGCGCTCCCTGGGATCCTTCGGCCTCTTTTCCAACGGCAAACCCGAGGCGGATGGGCTATATATTTATATATATATATAAAGGGGCGCCCCCGGGCTCCAATTCTCCCGCCTCAGCCTGCTGGGGATGATGGGTCCCCCACACACTCACTACCACCCCCACCCGGGCAGACGCCTCACCTGCTCGGAGAGGGGCCCCTTTCAGGTTCCGCTGCCGCCTCCTTCCTCCAACTCCTCCTCGGCGTCTCGCAGCGGCCGCGGCTCCTCCACGTTCCGCTTCAACGTGGCAGCCGGAGCACCGCCTTCATCGCGCCGGCTTCCGGCACTAACCGACGCCCGCCCGAAGGTTGGGCTCATGGGTTGGGCCTACTACGCCACGCAAGCGCGGAGCCTTGGTCGTCGACGGCCTCTTCGGGGCCGCCAGCTGAGGCGGGTGGGCAAGGGAGAAAGGGTTCTCTTGCCCGCGTGCAAAACGCCTTTCCTTTCCTGCGGACTAGGCCGCAAAAGATGTTGCGGGGGTCGGGACACCCCCTCAAAGGGCTAGGCCGGGCTCCTGCCACTCAGTCCACGGACACGAGCCGGTGTGGACATTGGGCAAAGTCTGCCTAATTTTTTATTTTATTTTTTTGCGGACAATATAATACAATTTAAATCGGGTCTCTCAAGCTTAACAACTTTTCGCCTTGTGGACTTCAACTCCCATAATTCCTCAGCCAGCAAAGCTGGCTGAGGAATTCTGGGAGTTGAAGTCCACAAGGCGTAAAGTTGCCAAACCTGGGAGACTCCTGATTTAAAGAATATTCGTAACTCAAAAGTTGAAATCAAGGGTCTTTGGTGCTCTCTGAGCTTTTCTTTTTTTTAAAAAAAAAATATTACAATTTTCCTTTACACAACTCTAGTACATAATCAACAGGCTTGTCATGTTGCTTGTATCTTTCAATTTATACTGTTTTTGTTTCCTAGTAAGATTTGATAGCTTATTAGTAACCTTGACTATCACTAAGTGTTGTATCTTTATATTCTTGATGAATGTATTTTATTCTCCTGATGTACACTGAGAGCATATACACCAAATTCCTTGTGTGTCCAATCACACTTGGCCAATAAAGAATTCTATTCTATTCTATGGATCTATTTAGAGCTATTTAGCTCTCATCAGCTAGCTATACCCTTCTGGGATTCAGCCTGCATCGGAGCTGAAAGGCGAAAGCAGTATGCTCCGTCCCGTATTTGGGTAGACTCGTTTGCCCTGATGAAAAATGTGTCAGTCCAGTTGCTTTTTCCAAAAAATAAAAATACCTTTGAGAAAAACTGACCTGGATGACTGAGAATCCTCATAGGCATTTGACTATTAATGTTGCTTACTTATAATGCTAGTCTGTGACTGCAATAAAACTATTATAGTTATGGTGGGCATCTAACTTGGCCATCAGGTATGAACAGGGCAAATGCTTTTGTAATTAATCCTGGTTTCAGGAAACCTGTTGGGTAGGTTCAAGCATCATGCTAAGCCACCTTATACAAAGAGATAGCAGTCTAGGCGGTGCTAAACTATTGCTTGATCCCACATGTTCAGGCACGCTTCTTTTTGGCTGGAACAGGTTATAGACTATAATCTATTGTTATGGAATGAAAGACTGAAAAACATTCCTGGGTCAGCCAGATTTGTACCTGAAATTCCGAACAAAGGAAGAGTTCTGATACAACTGTTTTTATACATACCCAAGACAAAAGGTTTGGTGAGCTCATGCATTTTTCCATATGGTTAACATACACTTGTTATATAATTGACACTTCCTAATTACTAAACCATTATTGTCTAGTTTATAAGATTATCTTTAGCTAGACATCCTTCCTTAGTTCTGTAATTACTAATACAGGAGTTTTATTGCTGTCCTTAGGCAATAAGTAACTCTGTGTAACATACATGTCTTTGTCTTTGACAGTGAGGCCCCTCAGATGTTTTCCATATGGCTGTCCTTCCGTGACAGCTAGGCCTCATCAGAAGATATATTACCAATAATGGGATTTAGCTGATTTTTAATGTAATCTCCAAACAAGCACATTTCTCCCTTATAATGTGAATAGAGAGGGTCCTTTAGTGTTCATGTAGCTGACCCTGTATGATTCCTGCTTTATTCACATTACTATGACTAGCCCTGTTCTCGGCTTAAACTATTGCACAGAAGTGTTAAAAAAGCAAATACTGTATTGGGGTATTTTGTCAACCCCAGTAAGTAAAATATTTTCATTTAACAAGTCAGCTATGCCTTACACCACACAAATAAATACTGTTGCCATCTGTACCTATCCATAAAGAATTGCAAAAATAAATATCTCATGTTCATCCCTAATTTTAAAGCCTAAATAATGTATCTTAAAACAACAGTAAACCAGTTACTATTTTCCATTTACATGAGGTGAGGGAACCTATGCTAAAATATTCATACAAACCCTGAAATATTTTTCAATCAAAAGTTTAAAGCAATATTCTTTACTGGATATCGTCTGCATGTGTGATTTGTAACTCTTATAATTCCCAGCTAAAGTAGGGAAAAACTGGGTGCTAGTTTAGAAAAGGTAGACTTAGATTCTATGGCAACTGGGTAAGAGCCTAAGAGATCAGAAGAGAAAATTTAAAGCTCGACAACTGATTACGTGTCATCAAGTGGTTTTTGACTCCGAGTGATTACAGATAAGATGAAGCTCTGCAGTACTTATTTTTTTAAGTAATGGCCCACCATTACTTAATGATTTTCCTGTAACTTTGCTCAAGTCTGATCATTTCACCAAAGGACTTACTGTATTTTTCAGAGTATAAGACACACTTTTTTCCCTCGTAAGAGGCTGAAAATTTGGGTGCGTCTTATACTCCGAATGTAACCCCTCCCACCGGCCCCCACATGTCCTCTTCCTGGCTGCAGATTGCCTCTGACAATGCCTTGTGTTTTTGGGCTCCGCATGTCACATTTTCATCCTCCAAAGGCTCCGTTTGAGAGCCCTTCAAGGCTGCGGGGATCGCCGAAGTACATCGCCGCCGATCTCTCCCCCCCCAAAACACAATGCACAGTGCCTAAATGGCTACCTGGAACAGCTGCTGCCTTCTCTTACCCTTTCCACACTTTACCTCCTTTAGTCACTGGAGCTCCAGATGATCAGATGTGCTTTAGAAGCTGTTTTTTAGCCCCAACCTCAAAACCAGCGAGCGAACTAATGTGCTGAAGCTGACCAGGCTAAGGATGATAGCCAGATGAATACCTGGTAGGCAGATTCCCCCCCCCCATTTTCCTCCCCAAAAACTAAGATGCGTCTTATACTCCGAAAAATATGGTATTTTATTTAAAGTTGTAACACTGCATAGAAATTACACATTTATGTATCTTGAAATAAACATCTCAACCCCTCTCGGTGTTTACAATACTTATGAATTCAGCACCCCCTTTAATAATACAGTATAGAAATCAAAACACGTAAGGCAACATTAAGGTATTTCTTTATTATAAATAAACTCAGTAAAATACAAGAAGTTGACTTCTATACTTTTGACAAACCTTGAAGTTCATTTCCCCATTTCCCTTGGAAATCTGATCCATTAAGCGGGGTTAAGTTTTTAAAAAACAGATGGAAAAATCAGATGAAAGTTGAGTTTTCTACAACATGAAAAAAAATCGATGAAGAATCCACAGCACGAATGTTTGGCCTTTTAAGAACATACCTAAGGAACAAAATATTTTACATGTAATCAGTTTTTGAAAAGCATGAGACTTGATTGCATACTAATCTTCTCTAAGTTATGTTTTTAATGTTAACCCACAGGTGGGGTTTTTTTAAGTAAGATATAATTTAATTTTTGGTGATAAGGGACAATAAATTTAGAAAATGACTCCATTTTATGTAACATTTTAACCATTAAAGATCCCTTTGTGGGACCTGTCAAAAGCTAGATTGCCACAAAATACAGAATAGCAGTACATGCAAATACTACACAAAATAAATTTCTATCGGTGATACAACCATATACAACATTTTAATAGTTGATTTCACACAAAAATTTTGCATCTATGTGATCAATCTGATATGTATTCAGAAGGACAGGTTTATGAGTTCTCACAGTACTGTTTTATTTAGTTGCTAAAACAAAAAAAATGTAAGCAATTCACTGGTTTAGTTTGCAGCTAACAAACCAAAGCTATAACATAAGTTTGATTTTAGTGACTAGTATATATAGACCACCATTAAAATGTATAGTTTGCTCAACGTAGTGGCCTAGTTTAACATTACCCCCATTGGATCAATTATTTTATTCTCTACTACTACGGCATTGCAAAATATTTTAATGGTTACCTGGTTATCCTCCAGGAGAAATTTGTTTCCTGAAAGCAAGAAAAAAAGTACAGTGAATACATAAATATTATAAATTCTATTTACCACATTTATAGGTTGAAATATACTTTAGTCAAAACTGAAATGAAACAAAATATGGTGTCCTCATCTATGTGGATAATAATCACAGCAAATCATGATGTGAACAGCAAAAGTATTTTAATCATTGAACACCACAGAAAAACTGGCCAAAAGAAAGGTATCAGTCTGAACATCCATGTTGCAGATATGTAAATATATTAGCCTGGCATTTTAAATGTAAATTATATTTTATGGGTATAGTCTGATCTGGCGGTGTGCTCCAGATTCCTTCAATTAAATACCATTTATCAAGACTCTGGGAGCACATCTTCTCTGTAATAGTGCCTCCCCTCTGGAACAAGATTCCTCCTGAGATTCAAACAGTCCCCATCCTACTGCTACTTTGAAGGTTCTCCAAAGATGTGTCTCTTTGCCCAGGCCTTTGGGGCAAGAGATTTACACCATTTTGCATTTTCCATGATCCCTATCGAGGTTTGGTTTCTCTGCCACCTTTTATTGTTTTGCATTTTTAAATGTTTTAAAAAGTTTGTAAACTCTCAGAATCACTGGGAAGGAGCCAGTACTGTATATAGATCTAATTAATAATTTTGTGGCAGAATTCTGAATCTTTTGTAAACAGTATCAATTCATAGAAAATATACATAATCATAACAAGTATGCATTCTTAGTTATATTTAAAAACAGATTCACTGCAATCAAAATCTTTATCAATGTTTTAATTTTCCTTTATTACTGTACTTAACAAATTTATAAGGCTGTCCAACACACGAGTACCTCTCGGTGGCTTATATTAAAATATCATAAACATAAGAACCCATAAAACCACCAACTCAATTGTGGAACCACAAACTTATCCAAATGTGAAGAAATCTGATTCAATGCACAATCTAATACATGGAAAGGAAATCTTCAGGGGAAAAACAGCAAATCTTACCTCAAATTTTGGGACTCCATGTTCCAAACATTGCATACGCATTCTTTTAAAAAAGCAAAACAATTAACGATTTATCATCCAAGAGTAAAACGGCACATGTCTAAAGCACAAAGCACAGCTAGAGGTTTCTTTGAGGCATGTCCTTAAATCAAATGTAAATCACATTGCCAATTGTATTATAAGTCCCACGTTTTCTTTTAAGGTAAAGGGCCACTTTAGTGGCTACACCGAAGAGGCCATAAAAATCTTGGTTCAAGATAATTCCTTTATAACCATCAAAAACCAACTGAGTGGTGGGCTTTGCTCCGACCCCCAGGGATCCCTCTCAACCCAGAGTTCCCAAAACTTCAGCGATTAGAGTTTGCCATGCAACACGTGGTTTATAAACCAGGAGGACAGTATCCGAATTAGACTTAGAACTTAGATTTTTTAAAAAATTTGATTTATATGCCGCCCTTCTCCGAAGACTCAGGGCGGCTTACAATGCGTTAAGCAATAGCCTTCATACTGTTGTATATTTTATACAAAGTCAGCTTATTGCCCCCACAATCTGGGTCCTCATTTTACCCACCTTAGAAAGGTTGGAAGGCTGAGTCAACCTTGAGCCTGGTGAGATTTGAACTTGCAGTAATTGCAGGCAGCTGATGTTAATAACAGTGCTTTAGTCTGCTGCGCTACGAGGCTCCTGCAATAAATAACTTAAGTCACTTTAAATCAGATCTTCAAACTTGGCAGCTTTAAGACTTGTGGACTTCCAACTCCCAGAATTCTCCAGCCAGCATAGAAGTCCACAAGTCTTAAAGCTGCCAAGTTTGGGGACCGCTGCTTTAAACGTACACTAATCGGCATACATTTAAATATTTAATATTTAACAGATAACAGAGTTGGAAGGTACCTTGGAGGTCATCTAGTCCAACCCCCTGCTCACGCAGGAGACCTATACTAGGGATTCGAACCGCCAATTTTTCTGTTTCAGTTGACCCCAATATTTAACAGGCCCAGTTGAAGTCCACAAGTCTTAAGAGCTGCCAAGTTTGGGGGACTCCTGCTTTAAAACGTAGACTAATCGGCATACCTTAAAAGGGGAAGCTTCGTTGCATGCAGCTCTTCAAAAGCAAGCAGTTAGGGGAAGCAAATCCCCAGCCATGTGCCCTTCACCCACGCAGACTACAACACACATCATCCCCTCCCAACGAGCCCGATGCTCGCCTCTTTCGCCAGAATTAAAGGCACGAATCCTCTCCGCCTCCCGTGCAAACGAGCGAGGCGGTTACTAGCAAACCTTCCTTCCCCCGGACACAACGGACCCCCTCGCGTGCAATTCAAAGGACAAAGAAAAATAATATCCTCTAATTATTTTTCCGATTTGTATTTATCTAATTAACGTCCCACCGCGAGGACAGAGCGATGGGGGGGGGGGGAAAGGCTTCGCGGCGGTCCCTCCGACCCGCCACGCGCAACTCCCCCTCCGACCCGCCGCGCTCTGAAGCGCCGCGCGGAAAGAAAGCCCCGCGCCGGAACCCGCGAATAAAAGGACTCCCTCTTCCTTCTAGCCGCGCTCCCATTGGTCTAAGCCAATCGCCGGCTTTGATTGGCGCACGACTTTTTTTCCCCTCCCCCCCTCCGCTTCCGGTGTTTTGAGTGTTCGGCGGTCAGTTCCATAGCCATAGAGCAGGGGTGGCCAACTATGGCCCCTTTATGACCTGTGGACTTCAACTCCCAGAATTCCTGTGCCAGCTTGGCTGCCTCAGGAATTCTGGGAGTTGAAGTCCGTAGGTTGTATAAAAGGGCCACATTTGCCCATCCCTGCCATAGAGATGTGAGTTTACTAAGGAAAGAGGAACGTAAAGCAGTTGTCCTTCAGCGCTTCCGGTGCTACTTCCGCTTTCGCTTGGCAAGGTGGTGGTAGAGTTGTGGGGGTTTTTTTGTACGGGGTTTCGGCTACGACAAAAGAAGGCCTAAGGCGCCATTTTCCTGAGGGAAGGATTCCTCTCCTTTGCAGGTGAAGAGGACATCGGTTCGAATTTGGTATCTAAAATGGAAGGGAACCAAAGTACAGGCAGGATCCCTGAAGAGGTGGCTTCAGTTGACCCAATATTTAACAGATAACAGTAACAGAGTTGGAAGGGACCTTGGAGGTCATCTAGTCCAACCCCCTGCTCACTCAGGAGACCTATACTAGGGATTCGAACCGCCGAACTGCCAACTTTTCTGAACGACAAGCTCAGTGTCTTAGCCACTGAGCCACCTAGACCTGTCAAGGAATGGTCCCTGTTAAAGGGAGAGACTTCTTCCAGTTGTCCTCTATTACGGCTGATGGCACGGGCACATCCATTTAACTTTCTTGATGAGGATACGGAAGCTGCTGCCATCTTCTTCGCTTCGACTTCCCAAGCTATGCAACGATTCTTGGAATATCCCGGTGTTCTTCTAATCTAAGCCAAGTCCTATCCCTAACTTGGCTCCTTTCAGCTTTACCAACCAACCAACCAACCTGCCAGCCAAGGTCTGCCAGAGGCAGTCTTGGAGTGTTTCAAGTCCGAAAAACTCAAACTTTGGTGCTTCACACGATATAAGACCAAACAAAGTTGGAAACTTGGCAACTTTGAGATGTGTGGACTTCAACTCCCAGAATTCCTCAGACAGCATGGGGGAACTGGGGAATGGGCATGGCTGGCTGGGGAATTCTGGGAGTTGAAGTCCAAAGTCTTAAAACCGCCAAGTTTGAAAACCAACGCTGTTAAGACATTGTAGAGGGACAACGCTAGTTTACAGTGGCAAAAGTATGAGAGACAGGGTGAGATGGTGCCTTTAGAAAGCGGGACTGTTTATTTTTCTATCTCGGGGGGGGGCATTGGAAATGGATATAATTCTCACAAGAACAGGAAAGAGAGAATGAGAGAGGGAGAGAGAGCGAGAATGAAAGAGAACAAGAGAGAGACCTCTATACATCCTGGAAACTGTGGTGTCCGGTGTCTAGTCCAGGGATGGACTAGAAGATCTCCAAGGTCCGTTCCAACCCTACGACTCTATACTACTAATAATAATTTAATTATACAATTGCAGGGTGCCTGTGTGTGTGTGAGAGAGAGAGGATTGTGTGTGTGAGAGAGAGAATTAGCGAGAGAAGAGAAAAAGAGAATGAGAGAAAGACCTCTATACATCCTGGAAACGAATCCTGAAGTGCAGGTGAGCAATGTGCTTGGAGCTCTTTGGCTCAGAAATTCAGGACCCAGGACAGCGGGATGAGCTGAGAGAGGAGCTTTTTGGCAATAGTACTTAGACTTATATACTGTTTCACAGTGCTTTATGGCCCCCTCTAAGCGGTTTAGAGTCAGCATATCGCCCCCCCCAAAATATGATGAAAGAATCTTATGTAATGATCATTTTAAAACACTGCATTTTATGACTAGTCCCCACCCTTGTTGTGATAGACAGGTGGTCTGGTTAGGCTGTGCTGTTTCATCCCTTATAAGTAAGACTTGGGCTTGAATATTTATAGATATGAACTACAGCAGTGGTGGGTTCCAACCGGTGTTACCACCGGTTCTCTTCACGCACACGCTTTGCGTGAACACAGTGCGTGAACTCAGTTGGGTTTCTGCCCAGCTGAGGTGCGGCAATCCACTCTGCCGCGCCTATCAGCTGGGTTAAAAACCAAGAAATAAAGGTAGGAATAAAGCGGGGGCGGGTGGGAGGGCCCAGCTCCCAGTCACAGAGAACCGGTTCAGTGACATCACATCATCACCACTACCGGCTTGGCTGAACCGGGAGCAACCCACCACTGAACTACAGGCTTTTTAAATAACTTGTAATATAATCTAGACCAGGGGTCTCCAACCTTGGGAACTTTAAGACTTGTGGACTTCAACTCCTTCAATTCTGGGAGTTGAAGTCCACAAGTCTTAAAAGTTCCCAAGGTTGGAGACCCCAGATCTAGACTTTTATAATTAAGTGTGTTTTTACTAACCAGCACTAACCTGATGAGGTTTTGTTAACTTCTCAACAATTACAGAGAAGGACAGCCAGTAACTGCCTTGTTTTCACAAAATTTTAAAGGAGAAACAGTGTTTTAACAGAGGGAATTTAGAGGAGAGAGAGAGAAAACAAAGGCAAAATGTAAACATCAGCATCAATAATGACAGAACTATATAACTATATAGTTATATAGAACTTTATAAGAAAATGACAGAATTATATAAGGAAAAACATTTAAGCAAAAATGAGAAGTTTAACTTCGAAAAAAGTTTCAGGTGACACATTTTAAAAATTAGCGGCAAGTGAACTGTCAAGTTGTGGTTATGCTAATGAAATCTAGTACAGTGGTACCTCGGGTACTCGACTGCTTCAAAACTCCTCAAATTTGACACTTGACACATTTTGTCGTATAAAAATGTCTCGGTACTCATCCTTGTTTGGTACTCGACGCAATGCAAAAGGAATTGGGGGACAGCTGCAGAGAGTGGACAGGAAGTCAGCTATGGGGTGGGAAAGTCGCTGACATAGAAAAAGGGACAAATGGGAAGTCCTTCCAGGAGAAACAAAAGGTCATGTGATAAGTCACATGGTTTGTTTGCTACTCATCTTTTTTAGAACTCTGGTTGCCTTGTGGAACCAATGAAGCATGAGTACCGAGGTACCACTGTAATTTCTTCATATTACTGACATTAGGCAAAGAAAAACACATTTGTCAGTTTGTACATAATAGTATAAACATTTTATTTTTTTCTTTATCTGACATTTGTTTTTACAATATAGAAAAGTGTATTCTTTTAATAGGTCTAATAATATAAATTTTTATCTATTTCTGGATGTAAACCATAACTAGAAAATTTTCCCAAATACCCTCCCCCATCTCAAAATCTGCTAATAAGGGGATGCAATATAAAAGCATTCTGGCTAAGCAGCTCCTAATTATTGTTATAGGGGCTTTGAAAGAAACACTGCAGAATCTCAGCTGACAGAGAGGATCACAATGCAGGCATAATTTTGATAAGCTGCTATCAAGATCTTGGTATATTTTACTAACCCGTGAGCACTTTCATGCAAACAATCAAGAAAAACTCAAAGGGGAGAAGAGCCAAGCTATGTAGAAGAGGCAGCTTGTTCTTTGAGACAAAAAACTAGTTTTCTTTGATTGCACCTTCTTCAAATCTTTTACACACAATTCCATTATACATAATCTACAACCAGAATCCAAACTTCACAGAAGGTTTTCTGCACACTTATAAATACACATCACAAAAAAAGGTGCAAGTTAAAATAAGACACAGAATATGTACAACATAAAACGAATGTAATTCTAGACAAAGCAATGCATGTTTGAAAAATAACTTGATCGAGCTTTACTCACTTACACTAGTTTACATTTATACAAATCTTATTGTATGGAGATTTATGAAATTAGTAAAAAGGCAAGTCCTCATCTACTCAGAAAATTAACAAACTCTTGCCCGCCCAAAAATAATTCTATTTGTAAAAGAATTATATTGAAATAAACAGCTTCCCTTTCAGGGTTGTATGTAATTTAAGCAAGTTTGCTATGTACATACATATCGTAATACAATAGAATGTGTGTTTGCGTGTGTACATATATCTATACACACACCCACAATTACATGGAGAAAACATCCATTTTGAGAAAAAAAAATTGCAGCACTATAATTACAGAGCAGGCTACATTATCTAGCAGGTGCTTGCTAATTCAAACATGGAACTTAGATACTCATAAACTCATCGAACAATTTCTTCACTACAAAACCATGCAGTTGTGTTTCGCATTTTAATCGGGTTTTTTTTTATCGCAAAGGTTCTCTCTCCCTAAGCATCCAAATAATGTTATTCCACTCTTTTCTCTCTTTCCCAAGGAAATCTTTTAGGTTTTTGTCCTAAGACTATGCTTCTAAAATATACTTTTAAAATATAAACTAAGCCGATTGAATAACAAAAAGAATGCACACAGCTTGAAATTGGTTTAACACTGCTAAAAGAACATCTTGGCTGAATACTTACTGGGACTAATGCTTGCCCTCGGCTGAAGAAAAAAAGTTTCACTACCTCAGTAATAACTCCCCCTCCCTCTCTTATCCACTTCAACCATAACCCGACAGACTGAAGTTGATGCATGAATGCTCACGGACGTAAGGGAGCACAAAGTTTATCATTATTACAGAGTGCCAACTTGTTCATCCTACTGAACTCTGTAAATGACAATCATACAGATTTTGTTTTAAAAAAAGACACCTCAGCCTTCAAAAGATGCACCCTCCACACTGGGCCATGCGCAATTTAAAACAAAACTCATGCAATTCTTATAAAGGCAGTAAATGAGCTATGTCTAAGCAATTCACTGACAATGGATGAGGACCATATTAGGGTACTGACTTCTTCCCTTTCCATTTAAAAATATCTTTTCAAAAGCAATTTCACCAATGCGTAATCTGGAATGGAGGCAAAAAGATTTGAGAAACACAAGAGACCCAAAAGAATAGCTTCTTCCGGAAACTCAGACAGTATAGTAAGAACATCGGCCATTTTACACAACTGAAGGTAGCCTCTAATTTTAGCACTTCCAGACATAACGGGCTTCTGGAATCCTCAGGGATGGGGAATTTTGTAAATTGAAGTCCAGACTTTGGGAATTAACCCAGATTTGTAGAAGTCTAAGGATTATCTTGGTCACCCCTTTATAATTAAAGGAGAAATATTACCAAGTGTTCCTTAGTTTAGAAATATCCCCAGTATTGCTTCCACTAACAAATATGGGCATGATCATCAATTTATTCCTGCCGTTGAGTATGAATAAAGCTTAGAGACTACAAATATAAATTAAGATTAAATTAATTAAGATCTTTTTTTATTAATCTACTGAAGTATTTGAAGGAGAAACTGGGAAACTCAATAGTTGACCGGATAGTTACATTCTAAACAAACAAGGAACAGGTTTGTCCTCATTTTGTCATAGGGCATATAGCAGAAATGTTAAAAATCTAATTACACTGACGTTTGTCAAATAAAATGTTGATCCCCTCAAAAGCCAGACATGAAAATGTCATATTAAAATTTGGAATATATATTTTACAGTGATGTATTTTTAAAAACATACCAAAATGATTAAGATATCAATTATGACCTTGATTTTTTTCCCCTATCAATGTTATATATCTGCAGCTATTACTGCTAGGGTGTTAATATTTTAAGATCAACAGACAAGGCACTGTCACTGAAATTAGATTGTGGTCAATAAGATAACTTTTAAATTTGCATTTTTTAAAGTTGTTTTCCAGCAAATATTTATTTTTTAATAATTTCCAGTCAGCATTAACTCCCCACAGATGTACCACTGCCTATATTTTGGCAAATATAATCTGTGCTGTGATGCTGATTTAAATGGCTGGGGAAAAAAATCTATCCAGTATACTGATATTGTTCTTATAAGAATATCCAGACATTTCAATTAGTTTTGCACAAAAACTGATTTGCTCTTGATAGACTGACTAGTTTCTTTCTTTCTTCTTCTAAATACAAAAGTTAAAGAATTGCTTCTAGAATACCCTTTTAAAGAGAACAAAGGGAAGGAAACCATCTAAACTTTGCACTCGCTGTCCCATGTTGTTTAGAGGTTGAGAATAAAATGCATCTTCTATCTGTGAAGGAAAAGAAAGTTAAGTTAAAAGGGTAAAAGCCTCATTGCAAAGTTCCTATATTAACGTACACCAATGGAAACTTCACAGCACCGGTGAACAAATGAAGAATGCTGCTGTGAACCAGGAAAGTGTCCGTGTGCCTTTTAGTGTCCCAGTCTGAGCAAAGCCAGTTTTTTTTTTTTTTTAAAGAATCAGCAGTTCATGGCACAAGGATCACTTTTGGACTTTCCTGCCGAGTTAATGATTCTCATTAGACAACGTCCAAATTCCTCTAGAATCATCCGTTCCGCTACTGCTTTTGATTTTCCTGCTTTCTCGGCCTGTTCAGCCTGTGCAAGTAAACAGTCACATGTCGCATCAGCAACCTCTTTTGTTACAAACGTGAAGGGCAACCTGGAAAGGGGAAAGAAAAAAAAAGCATGAGCTGTTTCCATGCAATGCAGCTGTAACAACCTCACTTTTGGTTAACTGATACACCTGAGCTATTCACAAACAAGAGGAAGGTTTAGGTTCTGAGCGGTGCTAATGTATTTGAATTATATTTTGCTTCCTTTCCTCTTTCCTTCTCTTCCTCACTTCCTTTTCCCTTTCTTCTCTTTCCTCTTATATTTCGCTTGCTTGCCTCTTTCCTTCTCTTCCTCACTTCCTTTTCCCTTTCTTCTCTTTCCTCTTATATTTCGCTTCCTTTCCCCCTTCCTTCTCTTCCTCACTTCCTTTTCCCTTTCTTCTCTTTCCTCTTATATTTCGCTTCCTTTTCTCTTTCCGCTATGCATCCGGCCTTCTATAGATTTTAATTAATCAATTCCACAGCTCTTTCTTCAGGTTTAAAGATACTGGACCTTTAAATCTACAACGGGGCAAATCATAAAACCAGCACCCCTTCATCTATGAACTGTATTTCACTCTCATGATCAGTAATAGCGGAAGCCATGAGGGAAAACAAAAAGAGTTTAGCAGCTAGCAAGGGGAAGAAAGGAAGAAAACACTTAGGCACTTGGTTCTTATGTGCAAGAAACGGTACAAAGCTAACAAATCAGAAGCGAACACACCTTCCCCCTCCGCTTGTCAGCACTGGGGCTGGCCTGGTTAAAAGATCTGAAATCTGCGAAGACAATTTTGTCTTGGCGGCTGTCTGCTGCTGGACTCGTACTTCAGCAGCATCGGCCAAGTGCATCAGCGTTTTCCGTTCTGGGCTTTCTTCAAAATTCTTGCAGCCAATACATTTGCAAATTGAAGAGCACATGATCTTTGCCTACAACCGGGAGAAATCAAAAGTTAACCAAATGCACTTTCGCTGGGTTTTACAGAGCTGCATGGAACATACAGAATAAAAGTGCTCCTAGATACAAATGTATTACATTTGGAGCTTCCCCTTTCATGTAACCTCAGCAGGCAAATTACTGGCAAATCCATAATGCAAGTATTGTCACAATGACCCTTTCTTTCAATCCAATTCTGTACGTGAAGATGTTCTTGCGTTCTTTATGCAAGTATAAAGTAGATTTTCTGACCTAGAGTAGGTCAATGGATCTTGTCCTCTGGCCAGCTCTATCTGGCACCTACATCACAATCTCCCTAACCGGAGAGAAATTCTCCATTCAGATATTATTTTAGTCTCCTATTGTTCTTATTTAGTTTTGCTGATTAGGTAAGGTAAAGGTTCCCCTCACACATATGTGCTAGTTGTTCCCAACTCTAGGGGGTGGTGTTCATCTCCGTTTCAAAGCCAAAGTGCCAGCACTGTCCGAAGACGTCTCTGTGGTTATGTGGCCGGCATGACTACATGCCAAAGGTGCATGGAACACTATTACCTTCCCACCAAAGGTGGTCCCTATTTTTCTACTTGCATTTTTTACATGCTTTCAAACTGCTAGGTTGGCAGAAGCTGGGACAAGTAACGGGAACTCACTAGGGATTCGAACCACTGAACTGCTGACCTTTCAACTGACAAGCTCAGCATCTTAGCCACTGAGCCACCGCAACCCTAGATGCGGTGATTTGCTGATTATTTTATTACAAAAGACTCTTTAAGTTGTGCATTCTTCTGAAGCTCAAATTAAAGTGAATGATTTATTTTAAATAAATAACACCCGATTGCCAACTCAAAAATAATACAGATTTTCAATTTCTGTCTCATTTCTGCCAGGGAAACACATTTATCTTTAATGAACTTCTGAACCTGTATGATTTTGATACAGCTTTCCTAATTGTTCTTGAACCTTTTTTTATAATTAAAGATGTGGCTAGCATTTAAAAAAAAATTGTAGTAAAGGAATTTTGACAAATAATATAGAAAGTTAATACTAAAAGACCAATAAAAACTTACTAATTTGGTATGGACAGGAAGAAATAAAATTGTATTAAATCAATTTTATTGTTCCTGAAAAGCTTACTACTCTGAAATATTACCCTACCTTCTATAAAAGAATTTCCCATCTATTGCTTGACTAGAATAGAGGGGTCATTTTAAAAAGGGGGTAGAGTTTTTACTTTTCTCAGAGACCTACAATTATGAAGCTTGTTTTATACAAATGATACTCATTAAAGTGATTTCACAAAAAGTTATCAAAATAAAAGCTGGAAAACCCTGAAAAACAGTCACTATCAAATGCACAGAAAGATTACTAAATAGGGAGAGAATGGTGGAAGGCCTTCATAGAAGTGGGACATTGGGATTGCCTCCATTAAAATCAATCAACGTTCTGAATTTCTTAGAAGAACTGAAGGTATTTTTATTAACTAGGTTTTTGATGGACTGAACTGAACTCTGGGTTTTTAAGAGGTGTAAAGTATTAATATTCCACGTAAATTTTAGAACTAAATGGTTAAATTTTTGAAATCCTAGATTTCACAAGACTAAACAAAGAAAGCATCACCACAAAGCTCCTCTTTACCTCATAGCACTCGCAATAATTTTTGAGGCACCCAGACCTTTTGCAGTTACAACCTTTGCTGTGTCGCCTGTCCGACTCGCCTTCCTTTCCCTTCCCTATTTTAGGTTTAAAGGCTTCAGGATTTCTGTCCAGGCAGGCCTAATAAGGTAAATGTAAAGAGGGACGAGAGGAGAAGAGAGAGAGAGAGAGAGAGAAATCCATTACAAAACCCCCAAAATGTTAAGAGATTCAACTTCTGCAGGAAAAATTGGCAAAAACATCCATCTAATGTAGTAAAGGCAACAGCTGTGGTTTCAACCCACTGTTCAGGAAGAAATTCATGGCTACGGTGAATTTGGGAAATGTATTTCCCCAAGATGATACAGGATTGTTATTTTTTTAAAAAAAATATCTTACCTTGATTGCTTTTTGCCTATCGTTTTCATGGTCCAGGTTGTTATAGCAATTTGTACAGTTGCAATTGTTACAGAACTCTCCATTTGCAAAGCAATCACAATATCTGTAAAAAAAAAAATCTGTAATGATACTTGACCAATTCAGTGCAGAGTTTCTGACTCCTTCCTCCATTTTCTTCTTTTGCACCCAACCACACAGAATCCCTTAAGTGTTGGGAGAAACTTCTGGACATGGAGGGTGGCAACCTGCTGGACTTTTATCTGAAACATCTGTCCAAACCGATGGAAAGACGTGTGTGTGTGTGTGTGTGTGTGTGTGTGTGTGTGTGTACACTAGTTCCTTTATTCATGAGTGTGAGCATGTTAACCTTGGGCTTAGCAGGAATTCTCAACATGACATGAGCCATAAAAATTATCCAGGCCCTTCTAAGGGAACAAATAAATTAAAAAACAGAAACAAGGGCTGCCTCTAAAGAAAAGTCAATGTCAAAACTCAAGACTTTTGACATTCATCTCACATGGAACTCAAATAGCACTAGCACTTATATACTGCTTCATAGTGCTTTTACGGCCCTCTCTAAGCGGTTTACAGAGTCAGCCTATGGCCCCCAACAATCTGGGTCCTCATTTTACCCACCTCAGAAAGATGGAAGGCTGAGTCAACCTTCAGCCTGGTGAGATTTGAACTGCTGAACTGCAGCTAGAAGTCAGATGAAGTAGCCTGCAGTGCTACACTCTAACCACTGTGCCACCTCGGCTCTTGGTCTGCTCCTGCCCCCCTCCTCCTGATTCAATTGGCTCCAACCTTGCCAGGCTTTTGTAAGGCATTAAAAACCCGAGTCTTCCACAGGCATTCAGACTGGAATGTTAGATGTACCCATTTTAAGAGATGATGTAATATTATCTATCTTAATTATTGTTTATAATATTATGTCAGCTACCCAGAGTCACTTAGGTGAGTGATCAGCCGTAGAAAATTGATTAAATCGATAAAAAAATAAGAAAATAAACTAGCGTGGACTGCTCCTGAAGGAAAAGGTAGGGTTCCTTCAGTTTAGTAGCCATGAATTCATCCTGGGAATAACCTGTGGATTTCTCAGAAAAAAGAAATGTTGCTTGTACTCCTTTTTCTGCAAGCCCAGGTTTACTGTTGGTCTGCCCCTAAGTCTGAATCATTCAGCTATAGATCATCACACAGAGACTTGTTCTATTCATGCAAATGGACAGTATCATTTCAGTAGATTTTTACAGAATAATTTTTAAAGTGGAATCCCTGGGGAAAATGTGGCTTTTGTTCTTCCGGGTTTTCTTCTAATATACAGCAAAGTGGATTTTTAAACATCCAAAAGAGGCTATGTGTATAATACTCACAGCTTAAGACACAGTGATTTTGTACAATTGCAGGGTTTTCTTGGACGATTTGCAGATTCAGACGAGATTATTCTGGAAGATAAGATTTCAGTATTGTTTTATTTATTTATATTTCATGTTTCTAAACCGCCAATCTGCCTCAAATGGGCCTCTGGGCAGTGTAATATAATTGATAAATGAAATGTAGAAAGATTAACATTAACATTGTTAGGATTAAAATAAATAAATTACAGAATAATGACATTATAAACTTCCAAAGGATAATAATCCCAAAATGGCCATTTAATTCTGGTTATTACAGGCAAGGAAGGGGTTCTCATGGGGCTAGCCCATCCCACAGTTGTGTGGTTCTCTGTGCCCCCTACCAAAGGCCGCAGAACCAAATTTTGATCCCTTTGCAGAAGGCTAAGAGAGTGTGGGCCTTCAGGGGCAGCAGCAGAGAAGGCTCTCTTCCTAGACGCTGCCAGACAAAGCTCCTTGACTGACGGGGTCTGCAGCATACCTTCCGTGCCTGAATGAGCGAGACGAGCTGAAGAAGGATATGACATTCCTGAATTGTCTTTTCATCTGAACAACGTAACATCCCTTCACAACTTAGCCTACTCAAGTTAACTCAACATGTTCCACAATCAGAGGACAGAAGCATGAGAGGCACTGAGCAAAACGCTCCTGCGGATGACCATTTCAAAAGAACAAGGTTGATATATTATGAAAAACAAATTGTCTAAGACTCCAAAGTGAAACAGAGCCTATCTGCTGTGGCTTTTCTCTTAGGTTCCTTCCAGTAGGACCCATCTTTAGATGAGAATCCTGTGCAATTGGCCATCCATTCATTCCAATGAGTAACAAGCTATCATCTGACAACAGTGCCTAAATTTCCACACAAATTCCTGTTTTTGGATGGTCTCCACTTAAGCAAGTATGCCCACATTAGCAACAATTCAAAATTCATAGGTGAGCTCTTTTGGAAGTAGTCATACACATGTACACACTCTAAAAAGAAAGTTATCCAGACGGCAACTACAAAAATGTCGCTTTTTCTAAGAAACAAGGAAAGGCAATTCCAGATAGGCTATTTTCCTCAAGTCTGTTTTCAGACTCTGCATTATCAAGAAAACATGATGTAAAAAATAAACATAAAGCCTGGATGGATAGGCTCTTTTATTGGATTCTTCTGTATAAAGATGGCTGCAAGAGTATGTTCTAATATTTGTAAAACCCTGTCTCTATGTTTATCTATTTTTAACAGCCTCATTTCAATTTTTCCCCCCGTCTTGAGACTCTGGGATGAAATAACCAAATCAATAACACACAATCTAATCAGGTAGCCAAGCTAGATGCAAAGCAAAGAAGGAAAATCTTCAATATCTAGTATACGTAGACAAGACACTAAGACTGTCTTGTTTTTTAAAGCTGAACATGAAATACTTTTCCAGATCTCAACTCCTTCCATGTAGTATGCATGTTGCATAATTTGTGTAGACAATACCCACCCATTGAATGGAAGCCGGGCTTGGGTCTGGATACTTGATGTCCCACTAAGACTAGTACTGCTCGCTATGGAGACACAAGATGGCTGCTGTAGCTTAAAAAACACATACACAGTTAATGCATGACATGCTGTTTGTAGGTGAGGATTTTTCACAAATAGATGCATTAATCCCACACCCTTCTTTTCTCCTACTTAGAAGGTGGTCATTGGTATTTTTAAAAACAATATGGCTTTCTAGAAACTTTGGCTTCAATGGCATCTTCAAATTTAGTATACATGCAAGGGTAGCCTAATCTCTTGTTATTGTACATGCAATTTTGATTATGAATAAAGGCTTAAAGTGAAAAAAAAGATGTGACTTAAAAATAACAGTCTGCTCAACTACACATATATTAAAAAAATGCTATGCTGATTTGCAATTTGTGCTGTCAAAAAGCTTTGCTGGCTGAGGAACTCTGAGAGTTGAAGTCCACAAGTCTTAAACTGGCTACGGTTGGAGACCCCGGTCTAAAGCACTCTTAGCTTCAGGAGGTCAAAATTCCACAGGTACATAAAATCTACAAAATTTAAGAGGAACCCTCTGCTGAGCATGGTAGATCCTGTTCCCCACTGCTGTCTTTTACAATAAAGTTATAGTTCTCTCCAGTATTTACTTTGGGTCCCTTATTGCCTTTAGTGGACTTCTGCAAAACATTTCTTTACAGGTCTTCTGAAACTTATTTTATGATACCCCATTTCGCTCTCCCCCCTCAATACATTTAAGGCTAGGTAACGTCAGTATGCATAAGCATCTTAAAAACAAAATAAAATTGATCCGAATATTCATTCAGAATGTAGAATAAATACCGGAAAAAAATAGAGTTGAAGGGACAAGTGTAATCCAAATCAAGCTTGTGAACCTGATTTTCCCTTATGCTTTCCATAAAAGTATTCTGCTATCATAACTTTTTTCCCCTGTACCTTTTTTGCACCAGCTGGCTGTTCTCCAAATTATGGATTTCAACACTTAAAATCCTTAGAAGGTTGCTTAGGGAATTCTGGGAAATCACGCCCGCACATCTGAAGAATGCACAGGCTACAGAAGACAATGTGGAAGAAGAGCTGTTCTTCTTTCTTGCCCGCGCTTGCTCTTTAAATATTTTCCAAGATGAGTTGCTCTAAATGTGATACTGCGAAAATACATTCTGCTTAGCCATCTAAATTACATTAGGTCACACTTCATTTCTTACAGCCTTGTTCCGAATTCCACACACACACCCACACCAGGATTTTAGGGAATAAAGAACATTCCCTCTTCTCAGGAGAGCAAGTGACAAATTCTAGGCTCCATTAAGCAGCTAACTGCTTCATATACTCTACAATCTCAACTTTCAAAATGAAGACAATAATTTAGACGATTTCTAAGATTTTAACCTTACTGATGAGCTGTTTCTCGCAGCAGTTAGAAATTGCATCCTTTAAACTGACGCTTCTCATCTCAGTAACTTTCAGATGTATGGGCTTCAATTCCCAGAATTCCCTAGACCAGGGGTCTCCAACCTTGGTAACTTTAAGACTTGTGGACTTCAACTCCCAGAATTTCCCCGCCAGCAAAGCTTGCTGGCTGAGGAATTCTGGGAGTTGAAGTCCACAAGTCTTAAAGTTGCCAAGGTTGGAGACCCCTGCCTTAGACAGCATGCTGAAAAGGTGCAGAAGGCTGAGAAACTGCAACTATACAAATATACAAACTCTCTAGCCCAGGGCTGTCAAACTCCCAGCTTGCGGGCTTGATGCGTCACGCACTGGCCCCGCCCATGCCCGGTTTAACGAAGGGGGAAAAAAAATCCCAATACGTCACATGGCACCTCCCTGACGCTGTGAGTTTGACACCCCTGCTCTAGCCTCTCCTCCAAGAGTATTAGTTATAAATGCTATATATTATTTTTGTAAATTCCTTCTCATCATCTCATACCTGTGTGACATACTGAGCTGGGAGAAACGCATAGCCCACGTTTCCTGTGCCATGGGCAGGGGCTAGGACAGTGCCAGGGGGAAGGTTGGTGAGGTTGGGTTGGATTTGTGGCAGTGGTGTGGCAGGCATAATGAGTCTCTGTTGTGGCTGGCTTGTGGTAACTATCTGCGAAGTTGTGTTCATTGGTTTGGGGGCCACCTGCAAAGAAGGAAATATTCAGGGTGTCGTTCTTTTGTGTACCAAAGTGCAATCTTTTGGAACAAATAACTTTATAAGGATAGTCAGAGTTGAATTAACTGAAAGTTTCTGTGAAAAAACTAGGGATTCGTATGAAGTCGGTGTTTATGTGGAACTCACTTGTTTGACTGTCTGCGTTGCTGGAATAATTGGAACAGACATCCGTACAGGGGTTGCATTCACCACCACCGGTTTGGCTGTTCAAAAGAAATTGCATCAGATACAACAGGCGACTTGCTAGACTAAGACGTTAAGAAAAGGGTCGGCAGCTTCCTTAATTAGCCAGTCATCCCTCATTCTCCTCTATTAGAACATAAGCTGGGAGATCCATCTTGAGCTATGTCATGTTCAGCAAGAAATGCTACCCAGCATGTCATATCCTCCTGTCCATATATAAATAGCTACAGAAAAATGCCATGAATTGCAAAAATGCTTGTTATAAAAGCCAGATACAATTTCGTTTAGAAATCTAATGTCGGGGAAACAAAATAAGAACATGGCACATATAAGCACTTTGAAGGTAGAAATATAATTTCCACAGTAGCGTATATATTCATTCCATTTATTTGAGTAGCTTTAATGTCAAAAATAGGTCAAAGCAGCTCTGATCTGATTTCAGGGTTATATATTTTAATTGCAATTTTGCTTCCCAAAAAGTATTGCTTATCGTTGCTATGATAATACAGGTAGTTTTCAACTTACAACCACAAGTGAGCCCAACATTTCTGTTGCAAAGTGAGAAATTTGTTAAGTGAGTTTTCTCCCATTTTACGACTTTTCTTGCCACATTTGTTAAGTGAGCCGCTGCAGTTGTTAAATTAGTAACATGATTGTTAAGTGAATCTGGTTTCCCCCTTGACTTTTGCTTGTCAGAAAGTCACCAAAGGGGATCACATGACCCCAGGACACGGCAACCGTCATAAATGTGAGTCAGTTGTCAAGCATCTGAATCAGGGGTGAAATGTAAAATGTGTTACTACCAGTTCTGTGGGCATGGCTTGGTGGGAGGGGGGATAATGTGACTGGGTGGGCGTGGCTAATTTTATTCTTTTTTTAACTTTTCAAAGCATTTTTTCTAATGCTTTGAAAAGCCTCTGCCGATTAGGCAACTCAGCTGGGATCGTCAGAGACTTTTCAAAGCATTTTTTTACCACCTCTTCGGCCAAGAGGTTGCAGAAAAAAATGCTTTGAAAAGCCTCTGAGGATCCCAGCTGAGCCGCGCGATCATCAGAGGCTTTTTTTTTTTTACTTTTAAAAGCAATTTTTTGTCAGAAGAGGTTGTAGAAAAAATGCTTTTAAAAGTAAAAGTAAAAAAAAAAAAGCCTCTGATGATCATGCGACTCAGCTGAGCATGGTTGGGGGGCACAGAGATTTTTGCTACCGGTTCTCCGAACCACCCGCCCCCATCACTACCGGATCGGGCGATTCAGTCCAAACCAGGAGCATTTCACCCCTGATCCAAATGTAAATCACGTGACCATGGGGATGCTGCAAAGGTCATAACTGAAAAATGGTCATAAGTCCCTTTTTTTTCAGGGCTGCTGTAACTTCAAATGGTCACTAAGCAATGTTGTAAGTCGAGGACTACCTGTACAGTACTAGCAGGCTTGGTGGTATAAAAGCTGTATATGGCTTTAAAAAAATCGTAAGGGAGATCTTCAACACAACTAAATAACAAAGGTGCCCCGAGAAAGAGAAAAGTTCAGCAAGAGAAGGGGGGAAAACTGTGTTGCTGGGGTGTATAACAGGAGTCTCCAAACTTGGCAACTTTTAAGATTTCTGGACTTCAACTCCCACAATTCCCCAGCCAGCATGGCTAGGTGAGGAATTCTGGGCGTTCGAGTCCACAAGTATTAAAGTTGCCAAGGTTGGAGATCCCCTGGGACATAGGAATGCTTGGAAGCACTCTTTTTTTCAACGGAGACTGTCAACAATTCACTAGCAGGCTTAAGGGAGTTCCAAAGTATACAAAAACATCAAGATTTCAGACACAACTTGCGTAGGGAACTTCCTCCCTCAACCCCCCCCCTCCCATTCCAATGAAGGCAAAATATGTCCAGGAGCCACGAAGTGATCACAGTGATGGGGAGAATGGGAAAGTGGAAGAGGAAGCAAAATGAAGCAAACAGGAGGGACATCACTGCATACCGCAGTGTTCTGATGCAAACCCCACTTTTCAGTATTAACTGAAAATGAGGTAATGGCTTGAAGTGCAGTTGTGAAATTAATCAGTAAAGCTTTACACCCACATTGCCAACTGGTCTATTTTTAAAAGAAAATCTTTTCAGAACTTAAGATAAAAGTGAACGTAAATATCAGATCTTTTATTACGGGGAGTTGGTTAATAGCGTCACAAGCCATGAAAAATAATGCAACAAACATTATTGTAGTTGTAAAACACCTCCAAGAATTCTGAAGCAAAGCTGATCACATGAGTAAGATGAGCAAGCTGTGGTCATAATTAAGTCTTAATGAAGTGACATTCTCCAACTAAGCAAGGATCAATAACAAATAATCATGTTTCAACCATAAATCAATCCTAAAACTATTTTAAAAATACACAACTATTTCGGGTTAAGCAGTCATCTTTCAATTTGCATAAAGCATCTGTTCCAATTTCCCAGTCTCATCAAACGTCCTTTGCAGCTTCCTACTTGGGTTTTTTTTAAGCGCCTTCCAATTATCATAAAATGTATTCAAATGAAGACTTTTCTAACCTTGCTGCAGGGTTGCAGTGCTGGTGCTGGGATTCTGATTGGCTGGTTGTGCTGTACTACTGGCAGTTGTGGCGGTTACAAGCCGGACATAATGGAATTTGCTTCCAGGTACCTGAATTTGCTGAACATTGGGTGCCGTTGCCAAAGGAATTATCGTCTTAAATTGAGAAGTACCCACTCCCCCAACAGTGAGAGTCTGTACTGCAGATTTCACAGCCTGTTGAAACGATATAAAAATATATATTTGAGATTGCCAGCAAGCCAATTCTTCATTTCTAATGAAAGTCAGCGCAGTTCCCCTCAGGTCCGAGACTAACATACAGATAAAACAATGCTACCACACCGTTCATGATTAGGTCAGAAGGTTTTTGCTGAGTTTAGTAGAGTTACTTGATTCTGGGTTGGCTTTAAGCGATTCCTTTCAACAGTGCTTTAATTTCAATTTATCAAAAAAGAAAAGAAAAGAAAAGAAAAGAAAAGAAAGAAGGAAGGAAAAAAAAGGGAGGGAGGGGAGAAGATTAGATTAGATTAGATTACATTAATTAGATTTCTATACCGCCCTTCTCCCAAAGGACTCAGAGCGGTGTACAGCCATATTAAAACACATGTAAATTTACAAAATTTAAAAACAATTTAAAACCGAATATATAAAAATTTGGCCCACAAAATTAAAAAACTAACATACACCCTTTATAAAATTCATATTAGGCCAGCCCGGCTTGTTGGAACAAAAGGGTCTTCAGGGCACGGCAAAAGGTACGCAGGTCGGGGATCATACGAACCTCTAGGGGCAGCTCATTCTAGAGGGCTGGTGCCCCCCCCCAGAGAAGGCTCTCCCCCTGGGTGTCGCCAGTCGGCCTTGTTTGGCCAACGACACCCTGAGGAGCCCCTCTCTGTGGGAGCATATTGGCCGGTGGGAGGCTGTCGGTGTCAGAAGGCGGTCTCGTATATACCCTGGTCCTAAGCCATGGAACGTTTTAAAGGTGGTGACCAATACCTTGAATCGCACCTGGAAGACCACCGGGAGCCAGTGCAGCTCGCGCAGGAGAGGTGTTACATGGGTGCGCCGAGTCGCACCCATAATCACCCGTGCGGCCGCATTCTGGACCAGTTGGAGCCTCCGAGTGCTCTTCAAGAGGAGCCCCAGAAGGAAGAAGGAGGAAAGGAAAAGAAAGAAAAAAGAGGGAGGGAGGAGAGAAGGATGGAAGGAAGGAATGAAGGAAGGAAGGAAAAGAAAGAAAGATGGAGGGAGGGAGGGAGAGAGAGAGAAAGGAAGGAAGGAAGGAAGGAAGAGAGAGGGGAGAAGGAAAGAGAGAAGGAGAAAAGGAAAAGAAAGAAAGAGAAGGAGGGAGGGAGGGAGGGAGGGAGGAAGATCAATTGTGCCTGAAGGTCTGCAATTCTGCAAATCACAAACCCAAGAACAGGCTCTCAGAAGGGGACTCAGATTAGTATGTACCTGAGCAGTTGTACAGTTAGCGACAGCTTTTCCCGGGGAAGAGGGTGTTGAATGCTGCACTGTGAGAATCTGCTGTCCCAGTGCTACGTTTAGAGGAACCCCGACTGTTTTCTGTGGGGAGCTTGGAGGCTGCGAGGCGACCGACACCACCGTTAGCTGCTTAACAGGATCACACAAGTACAGAATCTCAACTTCAAAATATGTAACATTGCAAATGCGTGAGAGATTAAGGCTTTCCACAATATGGGTAGGATCTGGAGGCAAAATGAGCAAGGGGGGACCCAAAATGCAATCGGGCTGTTTTACTCCATTTTGGAAAAAAGTAAACCTATTATCAACTAGGGAGGGAGGGATGGAAGGAGAAAAGAGGTAGTGGGAGGGAGGGGGGCAGTGAAGTGATGGTATTCAGCCGGTTCTATCCAGTTTGGGCAAACCGGTAACGGTGGCGGCAGGAGGCTTTGCCCACCCACCCATTATCACGTCCCGTTTTTGACACTCTGCGCATGCGCGGAAGGTCCTGCAGCTGCACAGAGGCGCACTCGCATTTGCAAAGGTAAGTGAATACCACCCGTGGGGCAGTGGCAGCTACAAGTCTGTTAAATTCAGAGTTTGCATAGCTGTATTAATGTACAGTAGTCCCTGACTTACAACCACAATTGAGCCCAAAATTTCTAATGATAAGCGAGACAGTTGTTAAGTGAGTTTTGCGTCATTTTACAGCCTTTCTTGCCACAGTTGTTAAGTGAATTGCTATAGTTGATACGTTAGTCACATAGTTGTTAAGTGAAACTGGCTTCATTGACTTTGCTTGTCAGAAGGTCGCGAAAGTGGTCACATGACCCAGGCACAATGAAACCGTTATAAATATGAGTCAGTTGTCAAGCATCTGGATTTTGATCACGTGACCATGGGGATGCTGCAATGGTCATAAGTTTGGAAAACAGTCGTAACTTAACTTTTTTCAGTGCCGTTGGAACTTTGAATGGTCACTAAATGAATTATTTTAAGTCAAGGACTACCTGTATCTAATTCCTTCACTGACTCGAATAATATTTTCTGTCATACTCATTTTTATTTGGAGGATTTGAGAGTTTCCCTTTAGCACAAATTCCCATGGCAGAATAATGCCAGAGAGCAGATGATTCTAAAACAGCTGAAACAGCCAGAAACCCTTTAGAAAGTCCATTTCAAAATCAGACTCACTTAGTTTAAGTGGAACATACATTTCAATCGTTTTCACATCAATCCATTTGTGCAAACGGGAGAAAGGACTGTGGAATTTCTTAGCAATATGTCTCAAATGTGAAAACTGGAGTCGTATATATAATACTATATATACATAAGCCATTGAAATATAAGTTTACCTTATTTGGGGATTTCAAAGGGGAAATTGCTATCTTATTTGATGCCTCCTGTATTGTAGAACTTAAAGTTGTCCCAATAACTCCACTTTCTGATATAGTTACAGTTTTGGGGGGTGTCCCCGGAGCAGTCTGTGTAAGAACTCTACCTGTAAAAAAAAAACAGAGTTATAATCTTACCCATCTTCTCAGCTGATAAAGTGCAAGATTATCTGGTCGAGGCATTAGCACTTTCTATGAGCTAGAGGAATTGGTTTTTAATAGCAGACCACTTAACTTTTAAAATAAACATTAAATTTAAACTGCTGCAATCTTCACATTTTGTGGCACTATAAAATATATTACATACTTCACTGAATTATTTCTCTCTCTTGAATAGCCTACCTACTACTTTATTTAAAACAAAAACAAAAAACAAAACAATACTTTGGCAATAAAAAACAAAATGGTCTTCACTTAAAATGCCACCAAGTAAGCAGATATCCCAAACAACAGTTAAAAACTAAACAAAACACTTTTTCACATAACTAGAGAATCGTCCCCATTGCCAAAAACACCCCAAATCCACTGTTCTCTTTTGAACAAGTACAATTTTTATAGCAGTGCATTTTAGTATAATCCCAAAATGTTGATACAATTTTGATTCTGGTCTTAATAATTTGTTAAACATCATAAAAGACAAATGAGATTTTTTTTAATTAATCTGATCAAATATTGTCCAGGGTCGCCCCAATCAGGGAGATGGGTGCTATCTACAAATTTAATGAATAAATTGAAATATTCAAGATATATTTATGCCAGAATTTAACTCCCTTTCCTCTGCAGCCCACCCCTCCTATGTACATTTTGTAACTGAATCTGCAAATGTTTGCCCCATAATTCCTCTGTAGTAAGAAAGAGAAACAATTAATCTTGATTGTAAGAGTTAATATGACTATTTTTTTCCTTGGACAAAAGAAAAAAAAAAGTAAATAATTCCAAACATTGTTGCACTGAAGAAAAAAAAGATTTCCTAAGAAAAGATTGATCTTTTGCTCTAATACAAAAATAAGTATGCCGAAATATGCTGAAATGGGGCAGTAATGCTTCAAATAATATGTGCAATCAATCTATTGATTTCTTAGCAACAAAACCTGTCAATAATTCCAAATGGAATGAAAACATCATTGAAAGCCAACCAGGAATGCATTTCTGCACTTTATAACATATTCATAAAACTAGCAAGCTTTCTATATTTAGCACATGGTAAGATGATTGCATGTATTCCCACGTAATCAGTCCAAGATCTGAACTTCTAGAGATAAGCTGATAAACTTTTATATTTTTTCTACTTGGCTAGAGAACAGTCCTTTTTATGGCTGGTATTAAAATCAGCTGTGCTTAGAAAAATGTTTCTTTAAACCATAAAAGAAAGCAAGAGTTTACAAATTCAACTCCCTTTTACACAGAGTGATTCTCTAAATCACGGATGTCAAACTCACAGCCCTTGGGTCTGATGTGTCACATGTTGGCCCCACCCAAAGGTGGGATTCACTTACCTTCGCTACCGGTTCGTAAATGTGAGCGTTACGCAGTCTTACGCGCATGCACAGTGTTCACACATAACATCCAGGCAAAGCCTCCCGCAGTCTCCACTACCGGTTTGGGTGAACCGGATAGAACCGGTTGAATCCCACTTCTGGCCCTGCCCCTGCCCAGTTTAGCAAAGGGGAAAAAAGTCCCGATACGTCATGTGATGCCGCTGTGACACCACGAGTTTAACACCCCTGCTCTAAATGGAGTGTTTCTCAACCTTGGCAACTTTAAGATGGGTGGACTTTAATTCCCAGAATCCCCCAATCAGCAAAGCAAAACAAAGATGGCTGGGGAATTCTGGAAGTTGAAGTCCACCCATCTTAAAGTCGCCAAGGTTGAGAAACACTCCATTTAGAGCAACTTCCCTCAAAATAACACAATGCAGAATGTGTTATTGCTTGGATAACAACTCCCAGAATTCCCAATCAGCAGAGCCGTTGGTTGCATTGCTTGGGAATTCTGGAATTCATCATCCTACTATATCTGAACAGCATCACTTCTTGCGCAGGTTCCCCCAATCTTGCAGGTAAGATTGTATTGACAAATTTCAAGAAACCGGGAATGAAAAATCCATTATGAAATCAAAATCCATCAAACGTCATTTTATACTTCCCGTTCATTTGTTACACCCTGGGTAAATATTACGACATGAAAAAAGCCATTAAGATATATATATATTTAGATATAAACCTGCAATGACTGGTGATACTTGAGTTGTCTGCCCTGTAACTGCTTTGCTATTGATTGGTTTTGTGATGATGAGTTTCGTTATCATTGGGGCTGAAGTTGGTGTCCTGGTTTTCTTAGCAATCTAAAAAAAAACAACAATGAGAAATCCAATGACCAATCATTTCTTAAGAAGTTAACCCAAACTACTTAGAAGCAAGGGAGAATCACACCCCTGGCCTAACTCCACTGAACCCCCCCCACCCAAAAAAACCCCACAAAAAACAAAAGTACCATGTTTCCCCCAAAATAAGACATCTCCCGATAATAAGCTCAATCAGGCTTTTGAGTGCATGGCAATAAGGCCAAGCGCTTATTTCAGGGTTCAAAAAAATATAAGACAGGGTCTTATTTTGGGGGAAACATGGTAAAGGAACAGCCTAAACCTATCACATGAAAGCTACATGGGTAGGACGGGTACAGAGTCCTCATCTTATGACCATAATTGAGCCCAACATTTCTGTTGTTAAGTGAGGCAGAGTTTTGCCCTATTTTATTATCTTTCTTGCCACAATTGTTAAGTGAATCACCGCAGTTGATAAAGTTAGTAACCTGGCTGTTAAGTGAATCTGAATTCTCTGTTGACTTTGCTTGTCAGAAGGTCGCAAAAGGGGATCACATGACCCCAGGACATTGCAATCGTCATAAATATGAACCAGTTGCCGAGCATCTGAATTTTGATCATATGATCATGGGGTTGCTGCAAAGGTCATAACTGTGAGAAACAGTCATAAGTCACATTTTTCAATGCCGTGTAACTTTGAACGGTCACTAAACAAACCGTTGTAAGTCGAGGACTACCTGTACTGGGAAAGGATCCAGCCAGTGAGTAATGGCTATAGCCTAAATGAGTGATGTCCAACCCGCAGCCCATGAGCTGCATGCAGTCCCGAACAGCTAGTGATGAGGCCCCAAAAGATAATTTAAAAACATTTTTAAAAAGGCAGTTTGTTATTTATATACATTAAGTATATTATATATTTTATATGCAGCCCAAGACATTCCATTTATTTAATGCAGCTCAGACAAGCTAAAATATTGGCCAACCATTTCCTAAATAGTCCTAGTTTTTTGTAGAGTTTAAGAAAGAGAATTCTTGGCTCAAGGCAAATATAATTTTAATGTAGACTGCATAATACAAGTAAGTATGCACCACTTGCCAAGCGTCTGAATTTTGATCACATGATCATGGGGATGCTACAAAGGTCATAAGTGTGAAAAATGGCCATAAGTCACTTTTTTTTCAGTGCCACTGTAACTCTGAATGGCCACTAAATGAACTGTTGTAAATTGAGGACTACCTGTATATGCAATTGGGGTGTATGTATGTGTAATAGAGGGATGGGAGGCAAAATAAATGACTGTTAATAGATTCATACATTGGCTTACAACATGTATATCCTTTTATTATGAATAAGAATCTTCCCAAACTGCATTAAAAGCAAAATAAAAACCGGAAACTACACACTGTGTGAAGAAAATGTGAAAAGGAAAGAAACTGTACATACAACTGCGCATATAAACGTAAGCAAAAATTTAAACCTCAGTTTAGCAGTGATTCATGGGGGTAAGTATAAGCGCAAGAACTGTAAGTCTTCATGCCTATTTCTGAAGAACATTCCTTTGGTTTTGGCCTATTATGAAAAAGCAAAAAAAAAAAAAAAAAAAAGAAAATTGTAAATATAAATTAACCATTATTATTTTTTTGCTTTTTCATAATAACCCAAATAATAAGGAAAGAGTAGGACTACAAGGTGATAAACTGGTCAGTCCTAGAGGAGATCCACCCTGACTGCTCTTTAGAAGGCCAGATCCTGAAGATGAAACCCAAATTCTTTGGCCACCTAATGAGAAGGAAGGACTCACTGGAGAAGAGCCTAATGCTGGGAAAGATTGAGGGCAAAAGAAGAACAGGATGGCAAAGAACGAGGTGGCTGGATGGAGTCACTGAAACAGTAGGTATGAGCTTAAATGGACTCCAGAGAATAGGAAAGCCTGGAGGAATGTTGTCCATGGGCTCGTGATGGGTCGGATACGACTTCGCAATTAACAACAACAAGGATATGTCCCAGCGGGGAAACATTCAAAACAACAGGTGAATCCTGAAAGAGACTCACCACCTCAACAAAATCAAGTCTTGGGAAAAAGTCAAGTTTCCAAAGTTTGGTAATTTTGAGGAAACACTTTCTGATATGTGCTACTACAACCCCATCTCGATGGACAAGTTAATTTATTATTTAAAAATTACTCATCATCTCTGCTGTCTTTTAACATCCTTGCTTTAGAACTTGCTTTTTTAGAGATTTATTGAGGGTTTTTTTTAACCTAGCCAGCTGTCCTCCGCACCTATTGCTGCCACCAAAGGGAATTCCCAATAGGACATCAATTTTATTGCAAAGGGAATAATTGATAGAAGTCCTTCTTACCTGCACTGCTTTTAATTGCTGGGTCTGCAGTACGGATGACTGGTTTGCGGCATTTACCAGCTGGCACCCTGGAGTCAAAGTAGAGACACCAATGACGGGTTTCACCTCTGACCTTCCTCCAATTGTGACCACCTTGAACTGCTGGGCTGGAACCTTGGAGTCACTTGCTTGTAATTGCGGCGTGGTCTTCTGTGACAGCTGGTTGTGGGGTAGCGCTAAGACAATCGGTTGTCCGGGCTTGCCCAGAGTTGTTACTATGAGTTTTTGACCTTCCTGCTTTATGGCCTGTTTACCAATTTTCAAGTCCGTTGCTTTGTTAAGAATAATTTGATTGCCTGATAGAGACACGGGAGTCTGGGTGCCTAGCTTCTGGAGGCCGCTTTGAAAAGAAGGTTGTGCAGTCACACCGGCATCAGATTTTACGAAGGCAGAATTGCCGGTAACGGGGCTAACACAATTGCTGGACAATGTGACAGGTTCCGTAGTGACTGATGGTGTGCCAGTAGTAGTATGATCATCAGCAGAGCTTACATTTGCTATTCCCTCCAGTTCTGTTTCCATAGGAATAGGGTCACCCACAATTACAGCTTCGATGTTCTCGTCTTCCTCTAATGTTATACCTGTGTCCATGATCTCTTCGGGGAGCAAGCTGTTCACTTCTGCTGACACGACCTCCATTTTGCAGATGTTGATGGTAGGTTTCAACAGAAGCCACTGCAGTGATATTTTAAAAAAAATGTTCAATTTTCATGTTCCGCCAAACTATGTAACTTGAAACATCAGATGTGTCATAGCTGGACAGCTATATAATTGTGGAAGTGACGTATTAGCAACTGTGGATAAATATACCATTGGCATCCCCTCCCCCATACGTACAAATCTATTAGCTAATAAGAAAAGTTACTAATTATATTGAAAGGGTTATTATATCTCAGAAACCAGGAGCCTGAGCTGCAAATCAGGACACTTCCAGTTCTAATCACTTATTAGCCATAAATATACTGAATAATCAACAAGAAGATCTTTTTCAGCTTCAGCCACTCTGGGAGAGCTTTCCTCCCTTCCAGCATAATGCTTATGTTTTAATGCTGAAAAAATTCCCATCGGCAAAAGCATGACATATATTTGTGAGTGGAAGATATTTTGATTCTCTATTACATAGGGAGAGGATGGTTAACCCATTACTCGCCAAAGATAAACCATAGCTAAATGGGAATTAATTTGCTTTGAAATAACCTCCTTTGTTAACAACGTACGCTTTCATTATATCAAAACACTGGGCTGGCAGGATTTCTGTTGGAAATGACAGCATGCAGGGACAAGTTATCCCATCCTTTTTCAACAGCAAACTCTGTGAAAGTGACCCCTGTGTACAACAATACATATAGATTTATTCAAAACTTCCCAGTGGCACCAGTGCTGCATGAAGAGACTTGGGTTGGGGCAAGAAGGGGCCCCCCGTGGCTAGCCAAAGAGGCACTATAACTCCATTTCTCTCAAACAAAATACGTATTACAGCATTGTTGCTATCTAGCTTTACAGAAGCAAAGTATGGTAAAGAATGTTGGGAATTCATAATTATTATGATGAAATTAGGGAGGGTACAAAATGCTTGACATGTTGACATTATGTCTAGATCGGCTATTGGCGCTACGCAGCAATGACACTAATTTTGTGAAATAGAAATATTTCTAATTACCTGAATTTCTTTTAAATTCCTGCTGCTTCACATCGGTACACCTCCAAAAACATCATCGTGCAGCACCATGTGCTGAAGCTGCAAAAGATTATGATGTTTGTTATTTTCAGATCCTAAATTGAGAAATTCTATACTGTCAGGATATTTTCCTTCACCTTTGATACACAATGTTGACATCCTCTCACAGTGCCTGAAAGCAGAGGGGGCCTGAATGGGGAACAAAAGGCTTCAGAAGATCCTGGCAAGACTGGGTGGGTGGGTTAGTTGTAGGGTCTTCTGGATTTGGAGACTTGGATCTTTGGTGTTCTCAGTGGGGTTGCATTTTCCTAAGCAAAATGCACACTCTGGTGGTCCTTCTGGACTCACAACTCCTGCTCAAGGAGCAGGTTCCAGTCATGGCTAGGAGGGCCATTATGCAGCTTTCTATTGTCACCAGATGTGCCCATTTCCCAATGGACTACTGCAATGTGCTCTACATGGGGCTACCCCTTCAAGAGAATCTAGAAACTTCAGCTGGTGCAAAATGCAGAGGCCCTGGCAGTTATGTCTACGGAAATTCTCAATCATCCAGGTCATGGTTGTTCCAAAGGTACTTTTTCCAAAAGGCAAAGTGGATTTCTTGGGGTTTTTTTTTCTTTGAAAACATTTCACTTCTCATCCACAAAACTTCTTCAGTTAGAAGATAGAAGCAGTTTCAGTTAGAACTGAAGAAGCTTCTTGGATGAGAAGCAAAACATTTTCAGAAAAAGAAAAACAGGGAAGGGGAGAGGAGAGGAGAGGAGAGGAGAGGAGAGGAGAGGAGAGGAGAGGAGAGGAGAAGATAAAAACCTGAGAAAATACATTTGACTTTTGGAAAAAGCATTTTTGAGACACTGGCAGTGATGTGTGCCCTAGGACGGCACATGCTATGCCTCTGATTCAGAGCTGAACTGGTTTCCAGTTTCCTTCTGGGTCCAATTCAATGTGCTGGTTATAACCTTTAAAGCCTACATGGCATGGGGCCACGTTATTTGATGGATGTGTCTGCCTAGGAATATCTATCCATCAAATCAGGTCTAGCAGGAGAGGCACGTTGTGGGTCCCTTCAGTCAGGAAGTGTATCAGATGGGACCTAGGAGGAAAGCTTTTTCTGCCATAGCCCCTGACCTGTGAAACATCATTCCCTACAAGGTGAGGCTCACCCCAACTTGTTTCAGAAAGTCATTAAAACCTGAGTTGATCAACTATCTTGGGGAGACCATGATAGAATACATGTACAACCACAATTGAGCCCAAAATTTCTGTTGTTAAGTGAGACATTTGTTATTTTTCCCCCATTTTACAACTTTTCTTGCCTCAATTGTTAAGTGCATCACTGCAGTTGATAAGTTAGTAGCCTGATTGTTAAGTGAATTTGGCCTCCCCACTGACTACTACTCTACCCCACTTTGCTACTCTAAAAGGTAAAGATTCCCCTCGCACATATGTGCTAGCCGTTCCTGACTCTAGGGGGCGATGCTCATCTCTGTTTCAAAGCTGAAGAGCCAGCGCTGTCCAAAGACGTTTCCGTGGTCATGTGGCCAGCATGACTAAACACCAAAAGCGCACAGAGCGCTGTTACCTTCCCACCAAAGGTGGTCCCTATTTTTCTACTTGCATTTTTTACGTGCTTTTGAACTGCTAGGTTGGCAGAAACTGGGACATGTTATGGGAGCTTACCCTGTTACGCGACACTAGGGATTCGAACCACTGAACTGCCGACCTTTCGATCGACAAGCTCAGTGTCTTAGCCCGAGCCACCACATCCCCCTTTGCTACTCAGGACATAAAAGGGGATCACATGACCCTGGGACACAGCAATGATCATAAATACGAACCAGTTACCAAATGTCTAAACTTTGATCACATGATCATGAGGAGGCTGGTCATAAGTCACATTTTTCAATGCCGTTGTAACTTTGAATGGCCACTAAAAGTGTTGTAAGTTGAGGATTACCTATCGAGCATGCTAGATTGCTCTATGACAGTTAATAGAAAGCACTCTCTATGTTTTGCCACCATTTTGTTGTTATCTTTAAAAAACTTAATTCAAATTGTTTTAATGGGTTTCCTATATTTTTATTATTATGTATGCGGATCAGAGTAACTGTATCAGATGGGTGGCTATACAAATGTGATTAAATAAATGTTCTGGAAACTATTATACAAATCTGGATTTTTTATTAGCTGTGTGATAGTCTTGTAGTGACTGAAATACTTTTAAAAAGCAAAGATGTTCCAAAAAAATGGAAGAGCAAGAGCAATTGGCAGTTGGGTGGCGCACAAGTTCAATAAATTATTAAATTATTATTAAAAGACTGCATCACTAATACAGATTCAGATATGAATCTACCGGTAGTTATTCCAAGAGTACTTCAGATACATTTTTCATGGAGAAATGTATCTCAAACCCATGGTTAATGAGGTACATGAGGAACAAAGTGAGGATCATAATTTTTGAAATGAAAATTATGACCCTGTAAAGATTTGAAAGCAGCTCATCCAACCACCAATAATAATTTATTGCCCACAGTAGTCGATTTACAATCAACTAGGGTAAGGATGGGCAACTTATTGATGGCTACACATGTTTCAGCATCAAGGTGTAAGAACAGGAGTACAGAAAATGCAAAGTAGGTGGGGCATGATAACTTTTTAAAGTGAAGCTATTTAAAGAGTTTCAGGATTTTCTTGTTTTAAAATCCTTGTTTTTTTTTATACTGAGCGTTTATGATATCAAAATGTAGGAAATCATGCCATTAATTTCAGCAACTATAGTCAGAGTTGGCTCTGAAATTACCGCACACAAATCATCATCATCATCATCTGGGGGAAGAGGTTCAAGGGCTACATGCAGACGGACAGATAGTATATTTAGATATTAAATGAATTATTCCATAATTTGTTAACTGTAGAAGAAAAATGTAGCAGCTTGTTTTGTTTAGAACACCTTCGTTTTCATAAATAAAGCTGATGTGCATTTTTAACTGGATGTACCACTCACAAGTTTACTGTACTATTTTTTAAAAAAAAATTTCAAAAATTATCCATCTTCTGAAAAACCCTCCTGTTTTTCAAAACCTGACTTCAGAATCTGAGTGGGAAAATGAAGGAAAAATTATAACAAGAGAACAGGTTGGTATTCTAATAGTTGGCTATCGTGGGTTCAAATAGATCTTTATTTTTTTTAAAGAGTGCTTATTTTTAGCATTGATTTTTGTAGAGAGTATATTATCATGTACTAGTATACACACTAGGAATTTTTGAGTTAGAGGAAACACAACTATCTTATATAATTGAGATGTGTGGGTATGTGTGTTGTACATATGAAAACAGTCAGTTGTATGTCTACTTACTTTAACATTAATCAACATGGATGTTATTTATTTTCAACTAGATTTCATCAGAAAATGTATTTCATACAGAAGCCTCTCTGTTCAGGCAACATTATTGTACATATCAGACTCCATGGACAGTTGCATTTAGTTCCTCAAAGTTAATTATAAATACCAAACAGACTATTTATATAAAATCCCCATGCATAATTAAAGGCTTATCTACAAAGTATTCTCATACATTAATGAAATACTAATAGTTTGGGTCATTGATTAAAAAGGTTCATGACTCTGTATTATTTTATGACTAATTAAAACAGGTTACGGGACTAGTGTTTTAATCATTCATTAAACAATGTGCTTGACTTCAGCATTTTTAAAAATATTTTAACTACGATAAGCTCACCAGCTATTTCATGTTTAATGAATGAATTTATGGGGACCTTATTTAACTTTGTTATAATAAATATTTGGATTTCAGATTTATAGGCCATGAAATCCAAGATTATAGGCAGGTTTTATTTAATTTTCACTTGTCATTACTCGATGAGAATTATTTGTAATTAGTAGTATCACTAGACTTAACTACTCTTCGTTAAAATTTGAATTTACTGATTAATTCTTCTTTGGACTACTCAGATGATTAATATTTTTTCAACATAAACTTGCAGAGTTACTGTAAGTAAACTGACTGAACTTAAAATTTCTTGTCAAAAAAAAAACTTAAGTTAAGAAATTGGATTCTCAAATTCTACATCTAATATTTGTTGTGTTCCTGAACAATCCTTGAAGAAGAGAGAAATATGTATGTTTTAGAGGAAATAGATAGAAGTTAATGCAATCAAAGATGCCTTTGGATTACTTCCAGTGTGCTCTTACAAAGAAATATAGAAATGTAATATGCTGTCAATAATGTATACTGACTCATTTCAAAAAATATACTTTATGAAAGGCAGAATCTGTTAATTCTAACTATTTTGTAGCTATATTACTAACATGAAAGTTTTATGCCAATTAGCACTGTATTTGAAATATGTTATTCTGCTAGTAGTTTTCTGTAGATCCCATGTATTATGGTGTGTGTTATGTGTGTGTTTTGTTTTGTTACATGGCTGTATTTATAGTGGCATGATTTCTAATATAAGCCCAAAATAAATCATGCTATGGCTTAAGTGCTATGTGCAAATGTTATTTAGTTTAGGAAAGGAACAGGGAAGAAAGATACTCCTTAGATTCTACAAACTAGCCTGGTAAAATAATAGATAGATCAGTCAGACTCAGGGTCGATTTAAATCAAGTCAATTTAAATCACAATTTAAACCACTAATAAAAAGGCTTGATTTAAATCAACTCGATTTAAATCATAATTTTTAAAGAGCAACTGTCATCTCTGTCCTGCAGCAGCTGCTCCTCTGACCGCTGTTGACTCACTGACAGTCCCAATACTGCAGAATATACAGCCTCATGCTACATAACTAAACTCCATTTCATGTTGAATAAACTAAATTATTAATGTATCTTAAATAGAAAACTATCTTTAGATAGATTTTTACTCCAGAAGCATTTTATAAAAATAAATTTGATAAAAAACAAAAAAATCAATTTTTAATTAATTTTTTTTAAAAAAATCATCAATTTTTATCCACTCTGGTCAGACTGAATGCACTATAGCAAGGAGAGCTCTACTTTATGATCTCTTCTCAGAATTAACACTTTCTAGAGATA